CACACATTCACTTTTATATATATAGATATCGTCTAATTTAACCAATTGATACCCTAACGTAAACAAGTGCAAACTGGATTCAGTCACATAAAAACAATAAAGCTGTATAGCATCACCTGATAATTAAGATTCTACATAGAATCTTACAGTACGTCCAATAATTTGTCCTGGGACTGTACATGGATGACTCGTGGGCGTGATATGAATATGCTTGCCTCAACCAACACACTAGAAGTCAAAAATCAGATGTCTATATCTTGTAATATTGGTCCTAGAATGACTTACAATAATGGACCAATGACATTTTTTATATAGGAGGCTTATATTTTTATAATAATGGGGGGGGGGAAATAAGAGTGTCTAGATTTTTCAATATTGGTCCTAGAATGACTTTCAGTATTGTACCAATATCAATTTCTATGTAGAATCTTGATAGAAATGAATCTTGATCCAATATTGAAAGCCATTCTAGGACCAATATTAAAAAAATCGAGACATCCCAATATTTGCCCCTCGGTGCATGTTCTAATATAACCTTTAGCCAATTTTGAGCCCAACTAGGGCCAACGTAAAATAGTTGCTAGGGTATTTAAATTGTTTAAAATAAGTGCGTAATTGTCTGATGTAGGATAAGAAAATTGGGAACAAAAACAATGATTAATCAACAGAAAAATGATTCTATTATTATCTGTTTTCATTTATCTGTTTGAATCAAGATTAAAGCGAAATAATATTTACATTTCGAAACTATTATGTTTTTATTTTTAAAAAAATTCGAGTATTTGCTTGACGTTATTGTTTTATTTTACTTAGCAAGTTAGTGCGTTACTGTGTGAATGTTATTTTGTATTTTGGAAAGAATAATTTTGAAACAGGCTACCATTAAACAGGAAGGTACTTTGATTGCTTCGTAACTTGGTGAATGTTATTTTGTTTTTCGAAAAGAATAATTTTGAAACATGCTACCATCAAACAGGAAGGTATTGTAAATTTAATGCTGTTTAAACTATTAAACAAATTTAATAATAAAGTTTTCACTTTTGAATATACATTTTTGAAAAGAATAACTTGATTTAGCGATATGCTACCATTTAGTAAATTATTGGTTTATTACCAATTCAGGTTAAGCAAATTCAAATGTAAAATTATCCAGTTTTCATTCTATTAATTTACCCGTGCTTTATTTAAGTAGTTAATAACACAAATTTATAGTATTTTGCATTTTTTTCTGCAATGACGACACTAAGGCATCGTAGCTGGAATTTGGTTTCAACACAACCTATCTCGTCGATCCGTGATGGCTCAGGGGATAGAGCATCCACCTTCCAATGAGGTGAACCAGGTTCCAAATTCAGCAATGGCTGGTCGATACGAATTCGGCATCCGTATTGCACCGACCACAGTGCTGATGTAAAACATCCTCAGTGGTAGACGGATCATGGGTTAGATTACCCCGTGGGAGGTTTTCGTGGATTTCCTCTCTTTGTAAAGCTATGTAATAGTTCCACCAAAAAAAATCCTCCAAGAAGTCATATTTCTCCCAATACTTGATCTAGGAGTTCCCTTGTCTTGTTGATTGAGTTCAAAATTACAAGGCTTCGGAGTTGAACATTAGTAGTCGTAAACTCAAAAAATTGGGTTGGCTGTTCAAGGACGATTATTAAATAAAACCTATCTCGTCGAGATCTGGATTACATATTTAATATTTTTTTATTTACACGTGTAAACTTTTTATTCTTAAGATTCTAAGCTCAAATGTGGTTCACAGACTTTTTTTTTGCTATAGAACAGGCAGTTTAGGCTTCGCTATTTCACTTTAAAAATTGGCGGCAGACAAGACAGCATGAAATGATTCTCACCTTTTGAAAATCCAAAAATTCTCAAAAGTATTTTTTCATTTGCCGATTAGTTTTGACAATGATTATACCCACATACTAAATTATGAAAGCAATATTAAACAGTGGTTATCTGAGTAATTTTAAGAATCCTCCGAAACAAACCTAACAAGATCGGATATTTCTCTTTGATAGCACAAATAATTAATTTGTACCAAAGGAAATTTTAAAAAAAGCAAAAACATTTGATGTAAAATAAATTTTTTGAAATAAGGGGTTTAAAGTAAGTTACAGATAGCAAATTGGTAAAATATTAAAAAGAAATATGACTTTGTTATTTTGTACAGCCAATTTTCTACGATTAATATTTAACATTTCATAGAGAAATAAGCGTTAGATAAATCCTTATAATATAATACATAATAACTCTTAATCGTACATGTTTTTGGAAAACACAAACATCTAAGCCAACGTGCAATTAAATTCCAAAATGAATAGCCCTTTTTTTCAGACATCAAAAATTCCTCAAACATTTTACACTTCCACGGTATTGTTTCCTGATGGGTAATATTCTAGAGTTTTCGGAGTCTTCACAAGAAAACAATACTAAGCAGAAAAATCTTATCACCTACATTAAAATCTTTTTTTTTCTGTATAAAATTTTTTTTTGTATCCTTTGAATAATTTGAAAATTCAGTTTATCAATATATTGCTCCATGCCCTTGTTCTACATTCAATTTCTTAGCAACGCGGTATTTTTTAGACAATAAACATGACATATTTAGTAAACTATTTGAATATATTGTTACTATACTCAAACATATATCCTGCAAATTAATACAGAAGTTTTTTACTCTTTTTTTTTCCAGTATCAACTTTTAGTCTTGTGTATGACATCGTTTCCACTTCTTCTTTTTGTACTTGCTTTCGATCTAATAAGAATTCTATGGAAAAAGTTCAGTCTTGAAAAGATACCCAAGAAATCTATACCAACTCCAAAATGTTCAAGTGTGTTACTTTTCTACATTGTATTAGCAAGTGGAATCAGAAGACTTCATTATGGTTACAATCATCTCTTATGCAGTAAGTGTAATTTCAGTTTTTGTTTTTTAAAAATATTAATTTTATGTTGCTTTACAATTATAAGCTTCCCTTATACATAGGATTGATTCGATGTGGGGGAAAAGTTCATTTTGTTCGGGATGCCAACTGCTCGGTTTCGTCAACGATTTTTGGTAATGGTTATAGTGTAGAGAAAGTAAAACTTGCATAATTTTTTTTATTTCACCAATACTTTAAAACGATGGCCGCGAAACGGGTGGAGCAAAGTGACTTGTCTTATGAATATTTAAATAATCTTAATGAAGTGCTGGGCAATTTAAAGTCAAATTTACGAACTATGGAATCAACATAAACTTTTCTACCTCTCGAAGTACTATTTCTAGACAGCAGAACTAGTTGGCATTTCTGTTTATTGTGAGGGCAGGGGCGTACGCAAGGGGGGGGGGTTTAGGGGTTTAAACACCCCCTTGAGCTCAGACAAAGTGAATTTACAAAATAATACAGACAGAAATAAAAATTTCAGTAGAAATTATGCTGGCTATTATTTTTTAAGACTATATATTTTTATTTGCCTTATGCCTACTTTTTTTTCTCACGGTATTTCTCAGAATACTGAAAAAACATTTACTATAATAGGGTTGTACTTTTGAAATCAAATTCACGTGATACTGTTACGGGCGAGCCCCGATCGCTGGTTCCTTTCTGTCCTGCCAGTCGCGATAGTTTTCGAGACTGGCTGGCATTCGCGAGGTCTGGAATCCTAGACGTTCTGTCGTCTTTGAGACAATTCGAGAATTTTGTAGATGCGGTTAAAAAAAATTATATGAAAGGGGGTTACATTTATTTTCGATTTTAGTCAGACTAAGAGTTATCTCTGCCGCTTGTCCTTCGGAGCTTGTTTCTAAATCTGTTTTGTTTTGGAGACTCTGTGCTCGTTGAAGTTATTCATTCCAGCTCGAAACTTTGAGATCGTAGCTTAGTGGATATTTCTGTGCCAATATATATGTATATATTTTTGCTGTTCTTGGATCTTTAGGATGTCTAAACGCAAGAATTTAACAATTTTTAATTACTTTGAGAAAAAATCACGACCTGAAATTAGTGAGGTGACAGCATCTAGTACCAATGTAAGTTTTTCTGTTGAACAGAAATGTGATACTTCCGTTGAAGAAAACGTTTCTAGCGTAACAGAATCTGATGAATGTGAAAGCGGCCCTCAAAGTGTTACTTCCCACCCATATGACATTGGACTTTTTTCAGAAGATAATACATGCGAGGATAAAAAACTGGATATACTTAAAAATGTTTGGGAACCCAATCCAGCATTTGTTTTTCCTGAAAAAGGAAAAAGAAAATTGAAATTTCAGTACAAATGGCTTTATCGCTGGAAATGGCTTGCATATTCAGAGGTTAAGGGTGGTGCTTTTTGCAAATTTTGTGTACTTTTCGCCCCAAGTGGTGCCGGTTCTGGAAAGCAACCTTTAGGCCAACTGTGCAATGTAAAATTTGACAACTGGAAAAATGCTGTAGAGCGATTTTCTGAACACGAGAAATGTCTTTATCACAAAAAATCGATCGAAACTGCTGGGACATTAAACGATATTTTATTTGGAAAGATGAAACCTGTGGATGAACAAGTTGACAGTGCAGCAAGCAGAAGAAAATTAGAAAATAGAAAAAACATTACTCCAATCATTGAAACCATCCTATTTTGTGGAAATCAAGGTCTCGCTCTAAGAGGACATAAGGATTCGGGAATAATTGCTGAACAACCAGGTGAAGAGAACGACGGAAATTTTCGGGCATTGCTTCGTTTCCGGAGTAAGAACGATTCGACTCTTAAGAACATTTTAGAGTCAAGCAGAAAAAATGCTCAGTATACCAGCCCTCGATTTCAGAACGAAGTTATTGAGGTTTGCAATATTTTAATCCTGCAAAAACTAGTCAGCAAGATTAATGATGCAACTTGCTTTTCCATTCTTGCAGATGAAACAACTGATATTGCAGGTATAGAGCAATTATCGTTATGCGTTCGATATGTCGATAAAGAAAATTTTAACATCACCGAACAGTTTTTGCAATTCATTCCGGTGCATGACTTAACCGGAAAAGCAATAGCAACAACAATATTAGACCAATTACAGTCTATGAAAGTTGATATAAAAAAGTTACGTGGACAGGGGTACGATGGTGCTGCATCAATGAGTGGAAAAATTAATGGTGTACAAGCCCACGTAAGAAGTATTGTCCCATCAGCACTCTATGTACATTGCTCTGCTCATAGCCTCAATTTGGCTGTATCAAATGCATGCGAAATAACTGGCATTAGAAATTGCTTAGGGACAATTAAAACATTATACGACTTTTTAAATACGCCAAAAAGACAGTATGTCCTATCTTCAGCAATAGAGGAGATGGAAACCAGCTCTAAGAGGGAGAAAATTAAACAGCTATGTGCAACCCGTTGGATGGAAAGATACGACTCAGTAACCGCTGTGGTGGAACTTTTCGAGCCTATCGCCGAAACACTACAAAAAATATCAGAATGGAAGGATAAGGAATCAGCTACCCAGGCTAATTCTTTACTGTGCACAGTATCTAATTGCCAGTTCGTAATATCTCTTTTGTGCATTTACAAAGTTTTCACCATAACAAACCATCTCTGTAGATACCTACAAAAAACAAGCATTCATTTGATAGAGGCAGTGAGTCTTGCATAAGATGTCATTAAAGATCTAAAATTAATGCGTAAAAATGCCACTGAAACATTTTCTGAAATATTCAGCTCTTCTTCGCTTATGCTAACAAGCATTGGATCTTCCACTTCCATGCAAATCCCTAGAATAACGGGAAGACAGAAAAATCGCCATAATTTTCCCTTTTCGACACCGGAAACATATTTCAGAGTTAGTGTTTTTATTCCATTTATAGAAAATTTTATAACACAATTAGACTTAAGATATGTATCGCATCGTGATATTTTGAAAGGATTTCAGTGTCTTCTACCTGCCGATCATTTCTTGGCTTCATTGCCAACCTTCAAACATAAAGGCTTTTGAAGCATTAGTGGAATTTTACGCTCAAGATTTGGATACCTGTAAAGAAAGCCTTAAGTCTGAACTGAAACTCTGGTATAAAAGATTAAAAAGGATTAGTGAAGACGGAGGTAGTGTTCCAAAAACTGTGGCGGATGCTCTTGGAATGTGCAATAAAGATATAACACCAAACATTTTCAAATTCCAAGAAATATTGGTCGTTCTACCTGTTTCAACGAGTGCAAACGAAAGATCCTTTTCGACTTTACGCCGTTTGAAGACTTATTTACGCAACTCAACGAGAAATAATAGAATGACATTTTAAACGAACTTGCAAAAAAAACCCCGTCGTTTGGATATTACAGCATAAATCAATAAATTTTTAGCGTGATTGTATACTGGTTTAATTCCCTATTTGTTGGTAAGCTATTTTTTGGTTAAATTCATTGGTTTTCTATGGAATATTCACATCTATATGGTTATTATTTAGGTAGTTGTTACAGTATGAGTAGTGTTTTCTGGCTTGATTTATTCCTATAATAAAAATAAAATATTTTACCTCTTATTGTAAAAAAAATTATATTCTTAAACTTAAAAAATAAAAACAAAATTTAACTAAACATGTTGCCTAAATAAAAAGTCAAAATTGTCTAGCTGTTTAAATTAGGGAAATAATAGTGCTTTATTACATACTCGAATTTCTTTTAGTAATTTCTGAAAATTATGAACCCCCCCCCCTTTGAAAAAATTCTGCGTACGCCACTGTGTGAGGGTATAACCTATTTTATGTATTACTAGTAACATTTCTAATACAAACTAATTAAATATTCACGCTTAAATTCAAAAGTTAAATAGCAGTTTATTCCTTAACTATAAGATTAAATGGAGTGCAAGCTGACCAAAGTAGTTCAAAAAGGCAGATACAAGAGAAATTCGCAGTGAACTACAAAACTAAATATAAAGATGAAGTACTTTCATATATTATTGGTCACACAATCCAAATACACCCTTCATGATTTGTGCTTGGAAAGGATGACAAAGTGCACTCGATGATTGTGTTCGGACTACATGTCGTGCGCTAAGTATGCGGCAATTATCACCCAGTTTAACAGAAATATCACTTGGGTGTTTTTTGGCCATTAGCCAGGGTAAAGGTACAAACTAAGGCAAACAACGTTAAAGAGCACAAAAATATTTATAAAATACAGACAGCTGTATTGCTCAAAGGGCAACCTTCATTAGTGCAACAGAAAGAAATGCTGGATATGCATGAGAACTCAGTATTTGGCGCGAAGCGCCACTAATTGATTTATCTTATTCTTTTGGACATATACTGTAAAGACACACACACACACACACACACACACACACACACATATATATATATATATATACACACACACACACACACACACACACACACACACACACACACACACACACACACACACACACACACACACACACACACACACACACACACACACACACACACACACACACACACACACACACACACACACACACACACACACACACACACACACACACACACACACACACACACACACACACACACACACACACACACACACACACACACACACACACACACACACACACACACACACACACACACACACACACACACACACACACACACACACACACACACACACACACACACACACACACACACACACACACACACACACACACACACACACACACACACACACACACACACACACACACACACACACACACACACACACACACACACACACACACACACACACACACACACACACACACACACACACACACACACACACACACACACACACACACACACACACACACACACACACACACACACACACACACACACACACACACACACACACACACACACACACACACACACACACACACACACACACACACACACACACACACACACACACACACACACACACACACACACACACACACACACACACACACACACACACACACACACACACACACACACACACACACACACACACACACACACACACACACACACACACACACACACACACACACACACACACACACACACACACACACACACACACACACACACACACACACACACACACACACACACACACACACACACACACACACACACACACACACACACACACACACACACACACACACACACACACACACACACACACACACACACACACACACACACACACACACACACACACACACACACNGATGATTCTGGAGATTTATTGGAAAAGTGATGTCGGCTGGGGTCGAACCTGGGATCAGTGTGGTGGTAGGCGGATACTCTACCAATGAGGCTGTGATGATATATTACTATTTTTGTTGGTAATGATGAAAGGAGGCATCTGATGTATAAAAAGCTGCTATTGGTCTGAGGTGAGAATCTTTTTTGTAGTTTTCGAATGAGAGGATCTGGTTGAAATTGGCTGTTGTGCATTCTTCGGCTTTTTTGTAAAAATCTGCGTTTAATTTGTTGATATATTCAGAGAGAGGAGGGATTTTGAGGTCTTGGTGGATATTTTTATTTCGGATAAACCAGCGGGCACGGGTGATTTTTCTGAGGAGTTTATTCTGGGTTTGATTAAGTTTTTTCATTAAGTGATCTGGAATTGTTGCCCAGGCAGGAGAGGCATAGGTGAGGATAGGTCGGATCATGCTTGTATAGAGCAGTTTTCTGAGATTTAATGAGACGTTGGAATTTTGGATAAGTGGTTGTATGGAATATGCTGCTGCCATTGCTTTGTCGGTGATTTGTTTAACATGATCTGACCAGGAGAGTTTGCTATTGATGATTAAACCGAGATATTTTGCTTTCTTGACTATTGGAATAGGGGTATTAAAGAGTTTGGGTTTGTAATTTTGTTGGATTTAACAGAAAGAAATGAGAGAAAACAGGGTAAATATAGAGAAAGGTGACGTCACAAGAGGGTTTAGAGAAACGGCCAATAGGAGTGAAGGGTGAATGGATGACGACGAATAGGAAGCAAGGAACAAAAAGGTGGTTAGTTTGGTTTAATCATAGTTTTCCAAACAGGAGAAAGATAAGGAACGCTGGATAGGTCATTGACCAACAGTTTGGAATTTTTGAAAATATGATAAGACTCGTAAAAATCTAAATCAAAAATTGAAGAACAATTTTGAATGACTTTAGAAGAAGAAAAATTATTGGCCAAACTAAGCGTGCCTTAAAGTGCCGTGTCAAGGAACATGAAGCTTATGTCAAAAAACAAGAATTTAAACGCTCACTTATTGCCCAACATTGTGGGGACTCTAATCATAATTTTAATTTTTGCATGTCACGTATAATTGTCCGTGTGAAAAACATGGTGTGCTCAAATCTAGGCACAAACAGACATTGTTTGGCCTTGTCATTGCAAATGCCAATCTGACAGGGAACTGAATGCATTTAAATTGAATTGGCACATCTGTGTGCATAATAGGGATTCGTGGAAGTAATATACTTTCACCCCGGAACTTGTCATCTAAAATAATGACTATAACGTTGTTCATTAATTTTTTAACGACTAATCGCGTGCCGTTGCACAGAGTTCAAATTACGAAGCAAAATAACCGGAGATCCAACTTTGAGTACTAAATTATGCGATGGAATGCCTGGTAAATCCAATGAGTTTACAAACTCATTGGGAAGGAAAATTTGCAGCTTCAATGGGATCTCAAACTGCATCAGCGGATTTATATGTCACCAAGTTACCTGGCAATAGCTGCTGTATCTTCAGATTCAACACATTTTTTGCTGCTAAGATCGCCTTTTCTGCCAGCCACTCACGATGAATGTATTGCCTGTGTACATCGGGAAATATTAGGTTAATGAGAACATCTTGTGAATCAATGATTGTGCAAAAATCGTCCGGTAATTTAATGCATCCAGTCTCATCCTTCGTAACTTTTCCATCACCGATTTCTAACAATTGTTTTGAGAATGTTTCAGCAGATGGATCTTGAAGCATTTGGACTCGCATATTTACTTTTAGTTGAACTTTTTCAACATTACGCCACAGTGGAGATGATTTCAAGCAAGCATTGATCTCATCAGCGTACGTTGAACGCGGAAAGACGGGAAGTGTTTGTCTGAAATCACCTGAAAGGAGTAAGAGTGCAGCAAAATAATTTGTCATTGTTTTTTATATCTTTCAATATCCTGTTCAAAGCCTCAAGCGAATGTTTGTGTGCCATAGTGCATTTATCCCAGATGTTACTTTTACAGTGTTTCAACACTGTGGCCATAGACGATTACTTTTTTATGTTGCACACTGCATCTGGGTTGTTTTGAATATTTAGTGGTAGCTTAAATACTGAATGAGCTGTTCTGCCCCATCCAATGCCAGAGGATGCAACGGTCAACGCGATGCCTTTATTTGATTATAGTATTTCAGCGAGAATTAGCGAAATAATAAATTCTTTGCCAGTTCCCCCTGGTGCATCCAAAAAAAATCCACCTTGTCTCGCCGAAACTGCGGTCATAAATGTTCCTTTGTTCCTCATTTATTAGTGAAACATTGCGAGTAACAATCGCTGCCATTTCTATCGTATTGTGCTGAAATACACGATTCATGTCAATGTTTAATAAGCCAGATGCACTTCGATTTGGCGAAGGC